GCAGGAAATTCAGAGTTACAGGAATACAGTGGGGGGGGTGGGGGGAGGAGGAGAGAGAAGTCTCTGGGTCGAGGGGGAAGCCTTGATAAAGCAGACCTTTATCACCAGTTCTGGCGAATTAAGTGGAGATCAGACCCAGCCCCCAGACAGCACCCATCTCACACATCCAATCCCCAAACCCGGTGTCTTGGCCAGAAAGCTCAGGGACTTGTCCCAGGCAGTCTGTCACCATTTCCCCAGGTTTGGATGGGCTGAGTACTGGGCACAAGGTTGGACTAGAGGGATGTAGAGACCCTCCCATCCTGTGTCCCCTGGTTCTGATGGGTGCCAAGAACTATTTTAGCAGCTGAAAAAGGACAAACCCCAGGTGAATACTGTTTCTCTTTGAGTAGCCACCTGCCATCAAGATGGCTCCTTTCTAGACACTCCTGATTCTGGCTGCAGTCCTCTGAGTTAAATTGGGACCATTGTCTCATCTTGTTCATGGGAGGCCAAGGCTCTGGGACTCTGGGGTCCCAGCGTGCACCACTGGGACCGGGGGCCAAGCCTTCTGTGTCTTCTGTCTGACCCAATGGACTGTAACTCCGGCAGGCAGGGGCTGTGTCTTCACCTCCGGGGTCCTAGGCTTGTCCACAGATATCAGGACGGCCAGTGAATTAATGAGTAAGGGCAGGATCATGTTAGGAGCCACCGTTGGGGTAGTAAAAACTAAGAGCTCAAGACAGGGCTGGGTGGTGAGCACTGTGTGAGCTTAAGGGTGGGACGGCCAGCTGACCCAGTGGCAGGGACAGAGGGATGGCCAGGGACACAGCTGGTGCTTGCCCAGCCCACATGGGAACAGGGGTCTCAGGGGCGGTCTGCTCCGGGCCTGGATCATCTTAGCCAGGGGGTCCCTACGGAGCAGAGGCCACGCCCAGGTTGCTTGCTCCCGGCACAGGTCGGGAAGCCCTCAGAAGGGCTCTCCTCTCCTCTTTGTATCTCACAATGTGCCCTCTCTCCTGCTCCTGGGCAACAGAAGAAGGAAATCGGGCTGGAGAAGAGAGGACTCAGGATCCCGTAGCTGCCCCAAGCAGCACTAGAATGGGCGCCTCAGAGACCTGTCAGTCATCTGAATGCTCCTTCCTTAAATTCTTCCAACACCTGTTGTTTCACAGAAGCAAGCTGGTGAGGTCGATATTATCAACATGCCCATTTTTAAGATGGGGAAACTGAGGATCAAAGAGGCGAAGGGAGTGGCAGAACCTAGGTACGACCCAGGGCTTCTGATCCCATATCTAGAGCTTTCTCCACCATAGCCCCATAGGGCTCCTGGGTGGCACAGCACAGAAAGTCAAGCTATATTCCAGCCAGGTCATCTGGTCTACCAGGGTCACTGCCGATAGACACAACTCTCTAGGGGTCCCCCACCCAAACTTTGAACTTCACTCAAGGGATTAGGGGAACTCGGGGCCAACATCTCCCTGTGGCTGGTCTCCAGTTTCTCATTTCCCCCTGCAGCTGTTTGCCCGGACATCAGTGGTTGCGTATGCCAGGAGGTGCTGTGGAACATTCTAGATTGGGCCGGTTCCTCTGAATTGTTAGTGTTGGTCTTTTGAAGTATCTATGGTTGTCAACGGCTGGCTGCAGCAGACGAATGGCTGAGAAATATCTGGTTGTTATAAAGGACTCTTTCTGGAAATCTCCTTGTCATCTGCCTATTCCTGCTGCCCAGCTCCTTCCCCAGAGCTCCGTCTCTGGCCACCTGCTGCAGGTACAGAGCGTGGAAGTGGATCTCTCCACTCAGTCCAGAGGGCACAGGTTGCAAAGAGGCAAATTCCTGTGTGGTCAGTTGAGGCTGGAGGGCCGGCCCTACTGCTCAGAGAAAAAGGTGGGCATCAGGTAGGTAGGGTGCTCACCCCCAGCTGACCAGGAAGAGGTAAAGGGGCTTGCAGGATTGAGCAACCAGGGCCGGGGGTGAGACGTCTCAGTCCCTCCACTGAGGCCGTGCGGATCTCTCTACAACTGGGCCTTGGTTTCTCTGCCTGCCAACGGGACTGGTTTGCGCAGCCAGGGACTGTCCTGACGGGGCCCCGACAGCATAGCCATCCGTAGCGAAACAGCCAAATACTGTGCCGTCTGTGGAACACAGGGACACGTTTCACCCATGAAAGGACACACTTGCTTTTTCTAAAGCCAGCAGGTGGCACACAGAGATCCAGGGTGCTGCAGACAAAGCCGTCCTTGGGCTGGTGTGGGAAGCAACAGGCAGCCTGCCGGCCCTTCCTCTCGCACCTGCCAGCGGGGACACTGCGGTCCCTTGCCCCCCTCCCGATTCCGTGCACAACAGGCTGCAGAGTGCACAACGCGGACCTCCTGCCGGAGCCAGTCCAACTGAAGGGTGATGCGGGCACCGGGGCTGCTGCCCCTGGTCACCCCTTTCCCTCCTAACCCAGGTGTGGATGTGCGTCCCGCCCGGGCCCCGATGCTCACTTCGCTCTTTAGTCTGGTGGGGTTCTCTCAGCTCCTATCCCACCCCCAATCTCACCCCCTCTCTGGGAGGAAGGGCCGTGTCTGGTGAGCAGGGCTCTGGCCTCTGGCCAAAGGCCACCAGAGATGCCCCGGCCCCAGGGCTGGGAAGCAGAGGGGGGTGGCACAGGTAACCCTGGCCTTACTTTTTCTACTTAAACCTTCAGGGGCTGCCCGCCGTCCTCAGGGTGAAGGCAGTCTCGCCTCCTTGCTTCCGCCGGCCTCTGCCGCCTCAGCTTCTGCGCTCGGTCTGGGCTCCAGCCTCATGGGTCCTCGGTCTCTCCCCTGTTCCATGTTCTAGTTCCTTCCTCCCCCAGCCATGAGCATCCTGTCTCTTGCACCTGCTTTGCCCTCACCTCCTCGCCTTGCTCCCTCCTGCTGGTCCCTCGGGTTTCAGCCAAGGGGCTACCTCTTCCAGGAAGCCTTCCTGGACCATCCTGCCCCAGCCTGGGCTGGGGCACTGTTTCCGTGGCTCGCGTGTTGTACTTGTCCCCATCCTCATCATATCACACACCTGTCCTACTCGTCTGCCCCCTGGTTCTCCTGTCCCACTGGATGTGGGCTCCTCAAGGGCAGGGCCTGGGTCATGCTCAGCCCCCGGCCTTGGCACACAGATCACAGTAGATGGTTGCTGGATGCACGAGAAAGGAGGAGGATAAGAAGAGAATTGACAGGGGAAGCCGGTGGGGCTCGCAGGACCCCCTGAGCTCGGAGATGGGGTCCTTACTTCCACCTCCCCAGGACACCCCCGCAGGCAGACGACCCTGCACCCCGCCAGGCACATTCCACATTGGCAAGTGCAGCGAGGGACACACAGATGCAGACATGGAAACACAGGGCACCCTGATTTTCAGGAAATCACAACGGCCAGCCGGGCCAGGAGCAGATAGCTGCCCATGAAAAGCCTCATCACCCCAACCCTCCTAGGACTTCTTTTCCCACCCATCTTCTCTGCCCTGCCTCATCCCCATCAGCGCAGAGCTGGGGACCCTCTCAGACCAGGGGTTCCCTACCTCGGAAAGTCACTTTGGCGATCCGGTCGCCCCTGCCCCGAAGCTCCGAAACCGTCTTGAGGTGGACAAACAGGGCCATGCTGGTGTGCAGAGCCTGGACGCTGCCAGGCGGGAGCAGCTGGAGAAGGAGAGAGCCTGGTGCAGCTCGGCTCACACGCCTCCCTCCCTCCCTCGCCGCCTCCTCCTGCGCCCCCTCTGATGCTGCCCACAGAGACCAAGGCAACCGAGCCAGAGAGCTGCTCCTTCCAGCGATCACAGAGACTCAAAGCCCTGCCAGCCCCCGCCCCTCCAAGTTGTCAGCCCAGCGTGTGTGTGTGTGTGTGTGTGTGTGTGTGTGTGTGTTGTGCACCCTGCGTGCAGCCTGGGAGCGCAGGCTCAGAGTCAGAATTCATTATTCAGCAGCCGCCTGCTCCCAGATAAAGCCCTGCCCAGCTTCAGATGTCTTTTCCCAGCTCCTGGAGCAGAGGCTCCTGCCCGCCTCTCAGCAGGGCTCTGCTGCGCCCTGCTAGGCAAGCTCTGGCCCCAGGAGCGGGCAGATGGGCACGGATGGGCGTGTGTGTGGAAGGTGGGGGGGCGGGGGGCCAGGGGCGCGTACCCCTGCGGGGGAGAAGGAGCTCCACCGGCTGTGTGCACAGGAAGCTGGGCTGTCGCACTGGTGTTTGGTGGTGATTCAGTCCCCCGAATCAAGTTGGCCACCAGGGCTGCGGGCGTCCGTGAGGCTCAGGGAGCCTGGATGGGCCAGGCCTGGCTGGGTCCCACTGTGCCGTCTAGAAATCCCAACTCAGGGTCCCCCAGCTGGAAACTCAGCATCTATCAGACAACGTTAAGGCTGTGCCCGGTGGCTGCTGTCAGAAAAGAGAGTCCTAAGAGGAAAAGGGAATGTTCTGCCTCCACCTGCTCTCACAGAGATTGTACCCCCAAGAGGCAGGGTCTTGGCCTCCTGCTTTGGGACTCCTGGATCTGGGAAGACGGCGCGCTCGGAAGCCAGGCTGAGCGTGACCGGAGATGCCCAGCTACGAAAGCCTCAGAGGCTTATGTTCCACGAAGGGCGATGCTTAAGGTCCAGGACACTAACCCAGCCCCATCCTGGGGCCTGGGGATGGAGAAGGCCGGGCCGGTGAGCCTCACTGGAGCAGAACCGTTAGGACTTGTAGCCCATTAGCTGCTGGGGTCGGGGGGCAGTGGGGAAGGGATATCTGGCAGAATTTCCAAGGACCAAAAAAGAACTGCCCTCTCTTCCAGCAACATACCCCGGGAGGCGCTTATAGAGAAAGGGACCCTGGGGACCAGGATCCCCGAACCTGGGGCCTTTGCAGGATCATCTGCACCCTTGGCCTTGCTGCTTGCTCTGTAAGGTATGCCCCCACCCCACCGCTGCCTTCTGGCGGGGACTCAGCCCAACTGGTGCCCATTCCTAAAAGTCTCTGCCCCCACCCCCACCCAGGCTGGGGTGCTGCCCCGCCCCTCTCCTCTCACTGCTTCATCCTCACCATGGGGACACCCTGGTGTCCTACATCTTTGCAACCCCAGAGCCTCGCACAGAGTCCTGTGTATAGTTGGATGCCCAGTGCAGGTTGACAGGATAGGGGGCGAGCTTGGCGACCTGGAGGGAACAGAGTCTGAAGGTTCAAAAAGGAAATACTAAATTTTTCACAGCATGCTAATCAGAGGTTGCTCCGTGGGAATTCTACAGTCCAGTGGCCCGCGGCATGTCACAAGAGCCTCCTTCTAGATGTTTCCTTGCCACATTGCCTCCTTTTTCTTTTTAAATTTATCTTCTATTTTCTTCTCTCCCTTTCCTTCTCCAATTCCTGTTCTTCTCTCTCACTTTTACTTAACCATGTTGAAGCGAAGAGTATTTTAGCATATTGTATTTGTTCAATACGCATGAATGTCCAAAAACATTTTTAAACCAGGCAAGTTTAATGTCTCTTTAAAAAAAAAATTAACTAGGGGCGCCTGGGTGGCGCAGTCGGTTAAGCGTCCGACTTCAGCCAGATCATACGCGTCCCAGCTGTCGGAGTTCGATATCACGGCTCACCGAGGTGATGACCAGAGCCTGGAGGCTGCTTCCGAGTCTGCTGCTCCTCCTCTGCTCCTCCCCCGTTCATGCTCTGTCTCTCTCTGTCCCAAAAAATAAATAAATAAACGTTGAAAAAAAAATTAAAAAAAAAATTAACTAGCATGTTCTATAAATAAGGTTATCAGGTGACCTTTGTTCATAGGGCTTGTGGCACTTGAGAGGAAAAAAAAAAGCCCTCCATCTCCTCCTTAGGCCCTTGGGTGCTCTCTCCTGTGGGGGTGAATTTCATGGGTCTGTGCATCTTTAGAAAAAGCCCAACGTCGACCCCCTAAACACGGCCTGCAGCCCAACCTCAGTTTCTATATCGATAAAAGGGTAGTAATTCCATTCTGCCAACACATGGCATCCCTTTAGCGGAGACAGCTAATACCTCTGAAACCCAAGCAGATCTACTTTTATTTCCTCCACCTGACCATTATCCATCATTTCTGAACCCATGAATATAAAATTTATTCAGCAGCATACACAATGACTTTCCTTCCAGTAACAGGTGCTGAAGGGATTCGGCAAGTGAAGTGTGATCCCAGTTTCCTGACTGCAAGAGAGAGACAGACCTGAGCAGGCAAACACATAAGAGTGCCAGGTTCATGCATAGCTCTTGGTGGCAAATTATAATGGGGGACACAATGTGGGCACTCGACCAGCCAGGGGTAGACATTCCCTATTACACAACCTGACTAGGTTGTTGTTTTTGTTTTGTTGTCTTGTTTTTTTATAATTTAATGTTTTTCTCATTATTGCTCATATTCTTAGATTTAAATACACAGATCTGACTGCAAGTTTGAAGGGCGGGCACTAGACTTCCACCTACGGTTACAAGCACTCACTCCCCTTCTAGTTCCGTTCCTCCCCAGGCCACCATTTTTTCCTGCTTCTGCACTCTCTTCTGAAGGCCTGTGCCACCCCCTCTCCCCCAACTCATTGTCTCTCCAGGAAAGCTGTTTGAGAAATTCCACACTTTGCAAAAGCATCCTGCAAGCTCATTAGTGTCTGTAGGTCTTGCATCAACTGCCGTTTACAGAATCAAGCTGTGAAGCAAAACTTCTCTGGGACAGGATTGGATGGAATCGGAGCCTAAGCGCACGAGGTCCCTTGCTGATACCAGGGCTGCTGAGTGGGGAAGACGGGGAGCGTCGAGCCCTGCGATCTGAAGACGTGTCGCCTCTCCGAGGCTGTCACCACTCTCATGCCCCAGTTACAGACTCTTGGCTGGGAGGAGGACCGCTGGAGAAGACCTGGCCACAGCTGCTGGTGAGCACTGTTACGCAGAAAGCCTCACCGGGGCCTTTGGCAAGTTTGCTCTGTGGCACAATTACGCCAACTGAAGTGGGTCCCGGGACAGGTGGAAATCACACCCCAACCTTCACACCATTTGCTTTTTTGCCCTCCATTGAAACCACTCGGGGAGTAGTTTGAGGGCAAGATGCAGGGTGGAGGAAGTTCCCAAGGAGAGATGAGAGTTAAGAAGACTCAGCCCCTTTGAGAACGAAGGGGTGGGGGGAAGAGGGGGGTGAAGTCTCTTGACTCCTGGCTCCCCTGCCGGCCCTCAGCTCCTGAGGAGCACACGCCACGGTGGGGCTGCTGCTTCTGCTCTGTCTCCAAAAGGGATCAGCCTGAGTAGATCAGCAGCGACACGGGGGGCAGATGAGTTGGGGCACACATAGGGGGCGGGCTGTCCTGAGTTTCACTTCCACATCCCAGCGTCTGAGGGCACCACACCCTGTTGGTGGGAAGGCAGAGATGAGCCCATTCCCGGACGTGAAAGCTGAGCTTGGAGGCCCACAGGAGAGCAAGTAGGGGGCTGGCCCCGGAACAATGCAGCGGGCGGTGGCTTGGCCCAGGTCACGGTCACGTTGCCAGGCACGCGGTGCCAGTGGCGGACCCCGCCCAGGCTGTTTACCTGCGGGCAGGGAGGGGCAGGCGGCTGGGCACGCCTGCGCCCAGTTCCATGTGCCTGCACCGGCAGCTTGGTGCCCCTGACCAGCCTGAGTTCAATGCCCTCACGTGCCCCCTCGGCCTCATGCCGGATAAGTGCCCCACCCCCGCCCCTGCCTGAACCATTCTGTCGGAGCGCCACCCCCCACCCCACAAAACCCTCCTCTCGCTAGAAACTGGAAACTCCGCACTTGCGCTTTTGGGGTTTGAAAGAAATCAGGGCTCCAGGTGTTCACCTGGCTGGGTGACCTTCCCGGGAGGGGTTGCGGCGGCTGGGCGCGGACAGGGGCTCTCTCCGCATCCCTCTTCCTGGGAAGTGAGTCCCCAGCGAGCGCAGAGCATGCCCAGTCTGGGACCCGGGGAAGGGGGAGGAGAGGGAGCCACCTCGTGAGCTGGGTTTGGAGATCCTTCGGCAGGAGTGACAACGTGAGGAACTGGAGAAGGGGGGCTGGCCTTTGGGCCCCAGCCCACCTAGGATTCAGGCAACAGTAGTGTTTGTCGGATGAAGGCGAGAAGAAGACGGGTGGGCCCTGGGTGGGCTCCAAGAATCTAGCCAGGTAGTTATTGCTTCATTTGGATATTCCTTTGGTAAAGACGTGTTGAGTGCTGGAGAGGTGCCAGAGGTTGTGAGAAGACAAGCAGGGGGCTGCCCTCGATGGGTTCCCGTGGTGGTGTAGATAACAGAAGGTTTAGTTAAAAGCCATCTTTGCAGCCTTGGAGAGTGGTGTTTACACCGCATTCTGGGTGTTCACCATGAGGTTTCAATTCTACGCGCAATTATACTTTTTTCTGATGCTCCCCACTGTCCCCAGTTGGAAACTTAACCCTCCCAAAATGTCCCCCTGCTCTGCCAGGGGAAGTTGCATATTTCGGAAGCAATCCTAGGTTGCTTCTGTCGCCGCACCGCTTGTCTGCAGTTCCCTTGAGCACTTTGTCCTGTGATTGATCTAGAAATTGTGGTAATGAGTGAATCATAAAGAAGGCTCCAAGCATGAACTGGACTAGTTTGGATAGCCGAGCCTGTATCTGTGGCTTTCTCTGCATGGATCTTTCTGGGAGGC